TGTTTCGTTCTGCTGTGCATGGGGTCGCTATGAGTCGAAAACGACTCAACAGCACTTAACAACAACAACAACCATTTTGAATTGAACAGTCATAGATTTAGGAAAACAAAAGTGAAGGACATACCTGTCATTTCTCAAGCTGAAAGAACTAAAGAAAAAATTCAAGCCTCAAGTTGCAATACTGAAGGATTCTATGGGCAAAATATTGAATGACACAGCAATCATGAAAAGAAGATGGAAGGAATATACTGAGTTACTGTACCAAAAAGAATCTGTTGACAGTAAACCATTTCAGGAGCTAGTATGTGATCAAGAATCGAAGGAAGAAATACAAGCTGCACTGAAGGCATTGGCAAAGAATGAAGCTCCAGAAATTAATGGAATATCAATTGAGATATTTCAATAAATGATGCAATGCTGGAAATGTGCATTTGACTATGCCAAGAAATTTGGAGGATACTGCTTGGCTAATAGGAGCTCTGGTAGCGTAGTGACTAAGGCACTTGACTGCTACCCAGAAGGCTGGTGCTTCAAACCCACCAGCCACTCCTCGGAAGGAAGATGGGGCAATCTACTTCCGTAGTGATACTGCCTCGGAAACCCAAGGAGGGGTCACTATGAGTTGGGTCCAATTCGACAGCACATAACAACAACAACCTGGCCAATGGACTGGGGGATATCCATATTTGTGGCAATTCCAATGTAAAGTGATCAAACAGAATGCAGAAAGTATCAAACAATATTATTAATAACACAAGTAAGTAAAATTTTACTGAAGATATTGGTTGTACCAGTACATCGACAAGGAACTGCCAGAAATTCAAGGCAGATTTAGAAGAGTATGTGGAATGAGGGATGTCATTGCTGGTATCAGATGCATCTCACTGAAAGCAGACAATACAAAAAGATGTTTACCTGTGTTTTATTGACTTTGCAAAAGCATCAACTGTGGATCACAACAAATTATGGATAATACTGCAAAGAAAGAGAATTTCCAAACACTAAATTGTGCTCATGTGGGTGGAACCTGTACATAGACAAAGAGGCAGTGGTTTGGACAGAACAGGGTATACGGCAGGTTTAAAATCAGGAAAGGTGTGTGTCAGGGTTGTACCCTTTCACCATAGTCGTTCAATCTGTATGCTATGGAAATAATTTGGGAAGCTGGACTATATGAAAAAGATTGTGGCATCAGGATTGGAGACTCATTAACAACAACCTCCCATATACAGGTGCTATAATATTGCTTTCATGAAGTTAAGAGGACATAAAGCACTTACTGATTAAGATCAAAGACTACAGCCTTCAGTATAGACTAGATCTCAACATAAAGAAAACAAAAAAATTCACTGATAGATCAATAAGCAATATCATAACAGAGAATGTATTAAAGTTGTCTAGGATTTAATTTTACTTGGATCCAAATCAATAGCAATGGAAGCTGCAGTCAAGAAATCACAACATACTGCATTGGGTAAATCTGCAAAAGACCTCTTTAACGTGTTAAAAAGTGATTATGTCACTTTGAGGACTAAGGTGCATATAACCCAAGACATGGCATTTTCAGTCAGCTCATATGCATGTAAAAGGTGTACATGATTTAAGGAAAACTGAAGAATTCATGCCTTTGAATTATGGTGTTGGCAAAGGATATTAAATATACCATGGTCTGCCAGAAGAAGGAATAAATGTGTAATGGAAGAAGTACATCCAGAATGCTCTTTCAAAGTGCGAGTGGTGAGATTTGTCTTATGTTCCACATGTTACTACACTGTCTTTGTAGAAAGACATCAAGCTCAGTAAAGTAGACGGCCAGTGTAAAAGAAGAAGACCTTCAGTTAGGTGAGTTGACACGTTGCCCATGTGGATGGCACAAGACTGGGCAGGGTTCCGTTCTGTTGTACATAGGGTTACTAGAAGTAAGAACCTACTTGATGGCATCTAACAACAACAACATTGCCATTTTTACTCAGTTTAAGGGGAGAATCCCCCATTTTTATTTCTCTTATGAAATGATTTTTGGTTCATTTTAGGCCTATAAAGTTCATTTATTGATATTTAAAATTTCTTAATTCCTTTTGCTTTTTCAGAATGAACATTTGTTTTTTAATATTTCAGCTGAATAAGTCCCTCAACTAACTAAAAAGAAAATGATATTACTGGATTTTCAACAATAGTGTGTTTTTCTTTTCTTCTATTTCAGGAAGTTGATGGCAATAAAGTTATGTCTTCATTTGCCCCACACAACTCATCTACCTCACCTCAGAAGGCAGAAGAAGGTGGGCGACAGAGTGGCGAGTCCTTGTCTAGTACAGCCCTGGGAACTCCTGAAAGGCGCAAAGGCAGCTTAGCTGATGTTGTTGACACCTTGAAGCAGAGAAAAATGGAAGAGCTCATCAAGAATGAGCCAGAAGGTAAAGGCTGGAAAAATATACTATCTATTGATTTTAATAGGTTGATATTAACTTCTAGTTCTGTTTTATGACTTACACTTTTAAAGTTAACGTGGACAAAATGGAAGCCTAACACTAGGAAGATCAGTATTTTTAAAGAAATGCTTAAACATATCTACTCCAAACTTTGTCATCATTAACTTATATTGTGATGCCTCCGTTATTTTCAAACATGAAGAAGTTATGATTGAGCGAAAGTTAGAGATTCAAGAGTAGATTGTAACAGAAGAGCCCAGAACAGGCACCTGCATGCCAAATAGCTGCAATTTAATTTGCACCTCTCTAAAAATATTATTTTAAGGACCAGTTTATAATTTCATTACATTTATAAATTTTATGTATTTGTACCTTTTATGTTATCTTGGTAGGTGGGTCTATTTCTTGTATATTCCAAAATTAATATGGCTATTATATATTTTAAAATTAGTGATTTTCTAATTCTGTTAGATATAATGAAGTTCCCATTTGCTCAAATTGCCATGGTGCCTTTGTTTAGGATAGTATTCTAAAGATGATATTCATACGAACTAATATTAAAACTACAGCAACCAAAACAATAAAACAACTCACACAAACTCTTTGAGGATAATTTATGCATAATTGACAGTCACTCTGCATGTTATGGATGCTCACAAACTCCTATTCAGCTTATGTCCATCTAAACATGAATGTGTACGAGGAAATGCCTCCTATTTCTATCAGATAGATATTTATCGCAAAGACAAACAAACCAAAAAGTAACAATCAAACAAAAAAGTCACCTGCAAAAGACTTACTTGACCCATAAAATATCCTGTGCTTATGCTATGTAACACTGAGGTGGTATCATTTATAATCTGTTATTGTAAGGACATTGAAAACTTTTGAAAATATCTGACCCAAAAGTGTTGACCAGCAAATTTGGTAGTCACAAAATAAATAAATTTTTGTGGCTTCCTTCCAGATGAATAACTGAGAAATGTTGATGTTAGCTAAAAATTTATACAATTCATATGATTTGGGCGTTAGATGTGATTGTAGAAATAATCTAGTCAGCCCAATGCTTTTGATATATGCCATTTTACATCCTTTTCTGTCCCCATAAAGGTAGAGATGAGGTTTTGAAAAGACCTAGAAACCTTGTGTTTTTTTCTGAGTTTTGTTTCGTTTTCTAATATGATGGGCTTTTCTTCCTGATAATGAAAATGATATTGTCTTAATTGAAAGGTTACAAGGAAAAAATAAGAGGAAATAAATAAAAATCACCAAAATATCATAGGTTTCTGATACCCTAAATCTTAACCCTATAATGTATGTATGTTTAAAATTTATTTTTATCTATTCTCTTCACTTTGCATGGTTAAAGTTATAATTGATTAGTTTTATACATCCTCTATGTTTCCCTTTGCATTGTAGTATAAGCAATTCCTCTTTCTTTAGATGTGCTTTGGGGAAAAAAATGGGTGCAAAATATTCTAAAATATAGATAATGGCCACAGTCACTCTTACGATTCACACATTACTTTTATTTTTAAAAATAATGTGTTATTTTTAGAGCATTCTGAGACTTACTTACAGAAAAGTTGAGCAGATAATACACAGACTTCTCTTATTATTAACATCTTACATTTTTATGCTGTATGTTACAATTGGTGGAACAATATTGATACATTATTGTTAACTAAAGGCTATCATTTATTCAGATTTCCTTAGTTTTTTACATAATGTACTAAGTTACACCTACTCCTCAGTTCTCTACTATCTTGTTATCTGATATTTTGTATTTCCAACAACTTTGAAAATAATTCCCAGGGAGTGCCTTGATGATCTAGCCTCCACATCGGGCTGCAGCTGGGATTGGGGCACCCTCCCTGAGCAACCTCAAACAATATATTGGAGGCCCCAGTGATGACTGAGCCACGCAAGCAAGAGTGGGAAACTTGCAGCAGGCCACCTTCTCCCATTTGTTCATGAAAGTTTGGTTTGGCCACGGAGTGTACAGATCTATAGCAGGACAATGTGAGATCACGGGTGGGCAGAGGGAGGCTGAGTAAGAGCCTGAAGGTGCCAGGAAGTTGGTGATGGGAAGTGGAAAAGGGGAGAAAGAAAGGGAGACTACATGGGGCTGTGGGCAGGGGTAGACAAAGGATAAACAGCATCCTCATCCTGGATTGGCAGGATGAGTGAGGTCACCACACAGAGGTGACAGTGGGAGGCAGTGAGAGGTAGCAGGAGGCAGCAGTAATGGGAGGTGGGCAACACCTGACCAGCATCACCATTATCTCTTAATCCCCCCATGGGCTCCACAGAGGTGGGGAAGGCATAATGGGGAAGTAGGACCAACCACACCACACAAATTCTGAGACACTGGGTGCTTCTGATGGACATTGATTGACTAGGGAAGGAGGAGGAGGCCACCAACACAGAAGTCTGGGTATGGCCCCTGACTCTTATATAATGTCAATTTTGCATAACAGCCTGGTCTTTGGAACCTAACCATACCTATAAGTGAGAAGAGGTATTATATTTAGTTCTCATGTTTCCTTAGGCTGCTGTTGGCTGTAACAATTTCCCATACTTCTTTTGTTTGGGATGATTTTGTCAGTTTTGAGGATAACTGGTCAGATATGTAGTAAGATATCCCCGTACTAGAATTTATCTCTTTATCAAGATGTTTCTCTCTTGATTAAATGGGTTGTTTTTTTGTTTTTGTTTTTGGTTTAGGGGAAGAAGAACACACTATGGCCCTTATTAATATCGAGCACCATTTTTATCATGCCAAAGGAATATACTATCTATGTGATTTATGACTGTTGATGTTGATCTTGATCACTTACCTGATGTAGTATTTGACAGATTTCTCCACTGTAAAGTTATGCCTCTCCCACTTTTCATTCTGTGCTATTTAGAAGGAAGTGCTATGTACAACCCACACTGAATGAGTAGAGAGTTACTCTCCCACTTCTTAATGTGGATATCTACATATTTTATTTGAAATTCTTCTGCCTAGGAGAATTATCTCTTCTCCTCCATTTACTAATTTATTTAATTGTCTGGCCATTGGAAGGTCTTTCATTTGACATCTGTGTCCTTTCAACATACTGACATCGTTAAGGGTTTTGTTTGTAAGTTTGTTTTAGTACTTTCTTACCTTCTATCACAATGAAATGCTCTAGATTCATATATTCCCTACCTTACTGCTAGTATTAGCCATTTCCCCAAGAAGCCCTAGTTCACTTTATTGATGTGTAGGATATATATATGGGGTTCTTATGTGGCATAGTGTCTGAGGCATTTTACTGCTAATCAGGAGGTTGGCAGTTCAAACCCATCAGCCACTCCTTGGAAGGAAGGATGGACAATCTACTTCCAGAGTGATACCACCTCGGAAATCCAAGGAGGGGTCACTTTGAAGTGCAGTCGACTCGACAGCTGTGAGTTTGGTTTGGTTTGGGTTGCACAGTGGTTAATAACACTTGGCTGCTAACAGAAAGGTTGGCAATTTCAACCGCCAGTTGCTCTAGGGGAAGGACATGGCAGTTTGCTTCCATAAAGATAGCCTCGGGAATCATATGGGGCAGTTCTCTTCTATCGTATAGCGTCACTATGAGTTAGAATTGATTCAATAGCATTGGGTTTTGTATAGTTTTCTTTTTCAGGATGTCATTTAATTAGAATCAGATAGTATGTAACCTTTTCATATTGACTTCTACAATTAATGATATACATTTAAGGTTCATCCTTTTCAAGTCTTGATAGCTCATTTAGTTTTATTGCTAAATAATATTCTATTGTATGGATGTACCAAATATACCACAGTTTATTTATCCATTTACTGTTGAAGGACCTCTTGATTTCTTCTAGTTTTTTATCATTATGCATAAAGCTTTTATAAACATTAGTATGCAGGATTTTCTGTAGATATGTTTTCAACTAAATTGAATAGATACCTAGGAGTATGATTGCTGGATCATATGTAAGATTATGTTTAACTTCGTAAGAAACTTCCAAACCGTCTTCCAAAATGGCTGTAATGAGAGTTCCTGTTGCTCCATATCTCTGTCACTATTTGGTACTGTCAGTTTTTTAGATTTTAGATATTCTAATAGATGTGTAGAAGTATCCCATTGTTGTAGTATTTAATTCTCTAATGACAAATAATGTTAAGTATTTTATATATGCATATTTGCCATCTGTTCATCTCCTTTGGTAAGGTATCCATTCATATCTTTTGCTAATTTTTTAATTGAGTTGTTTGCTGTATTACTGTTGACTTTTAAGTGTCCCTTGTATACTTTGGATACAAATCGCAATCAGCTATGTGGTTTACCAATATGTTTTCCCAATCTGTTGCTTATCTATTTATTCTCCTAAAAGTGCCTTTTGTAGTACAGTTTTAATTTTAATAAATTCCAAATTACCAGTTTTCTCTTGTATGGATCATACTTTCATTGTTGCATCTAAAAGCTCATTCTAAACATATCATTCTACTATATTATCTTCTACAAGTTATATAGTTTTACATTTAGGTTTATGGTCTATTTGGAGTTAATTTTTGTGAAAGACATAAGGAGTGTGTTTATATTCTTTTGTTTGTTTGTCTTTTGCTCGTGGATATCTCATTTTCTAGCACCATTTATTGAAAAAAATGATACTTTAAAGAATTACTTTTGCTCCTTCATGAAAGATGAGATTATCATATATTTATTTGGGTCTATATCTGTGGACTTCTATTCTGTTCCATTATTCTATGTGTCTATAGGAGCTTTGATAGCCCAGTACCTAAGACATTTGACTGCTAACCAGAAGGCTCAGTTCATATCTACCAGCTGCTCTGTGGTAGGAAGATGGGGCAATCAACTTCTGTAAAGATTTACCACCTTGGAAGCACAAGGGGGTTGCTATGAGTTGGAATCGACTCAATGGCAGTGTTTGTTTGTTTGTTTGTTTTTTTATTACTCCTTTTTCATTCTGTCTTGATT